TAAAGTGGAAATGGTGCATTCCAGGGCCTTAAAATAGTTTTTCTTTATGTAAATGAGGGCCATCATGTTGTTTCAAAGGCTGTTATCTACAAAGTTAGACCCTTCAGAAACACCTATTGCATTTTGGATGTGGTGTATGGAGACCTGCAAAACCTTGAATTGTATGTTAAATTAATTTATTATTAGATATTCTTTGTGATTTAATTACTCAACCACATCTCTCTATTAGTTAAAAACACTTTAAAATAGAAGGATTTCAACTTGTGCACAACACCATGACTGTATGATGCATCATTTTGCAGTACAAAATTATGTTTGAGAAGTTTTTGATAATAAAACTTTTGCTTAGAATTTGTTTTCCAGTATGTTGTTTTCTCAAACCATTTTCTCATGATTGTCAAAGAGCAAAATGTTCACATAGAACTATTTAGTCTACAATCTTAAAATAGATTTGTATTTTTTTCTTCACATTTTATTGAAAACTAAAATGCATTACTCATAACGGAATGGTGAAGTTGGATGTAAAGGGTTCAAATAACAAAAACCAGTTGAATGGCTCTTACAATAGGAATACAATTGATAAAAATATCTTAACTAAGTGTTTTAGAATTCTGCTCTGAACTACAATGTAAATTACAAGGTAACAAGAGATGGAATATCATCGACAGAATAGTAAACATGTTCAATTTTGTTCTCGTATACTTTCACTAATCTCACACCCGGCTTATCTTCTCCTAATGGTCCACAAATGGCAGATGTTATTACAATTTCTATGTCCTTATAAACACCTCCAGCATTTTGATGATAGTGTCCGCAAAATATTTTCTGTACACCTACAATGAAATGAAGACAATTAATACATATTTATTTAGAAATAAGAAGGTTTCTGTTTTCTCATTTCTTTCTTAGACAAATAAATATAAAACAGTCTTACCAGAATTAACAAACTTATCCAGCATTGCATTGCGAATAGGATTATTAATAGTAAAGTAGTCATTAGGCTCGTCTGCAGACTTCAGAAACCATGGAATATGTTGTAAAACTATTACTCGACTACTCTTCTTTTCTCTTGCTACTCTCAATTGTTCTTCAATCCAATCTTCATGTTTTCTTGCACAATTAGGTACATTGTGTGAGTCAATATAATACTGTGAGTTGATAACCAAAAAGAAAATTCCACCACACCAAAAGGAATAGTAATCATCCCCCCATGATGCTTTGTATCTGGATCACAAAAATGAGAAACTACAATTAACGTATCACTTTCACACAGGGTTATTCATTCAAGTCTAAAATTAATGTCATAATTCATCTGTTAATCATTTCTCCATTTAAAATAAGAAAAGTTTATAAATGTGACGAAACATTTTTAAAGCAATTCTGCTTTTCAATGACAGTTTCAGTACCACATGTCCTAACAGGCCTATAAGAATTCATGTAAAGTATGTCATGGTTAGGTAGCATAGACTTATGTTGGAAATTTTCTTCATAATATATTTTCTTCAGTAGCAGTCGGTTTTTGCTTGCTATGTTGAAATTTCCACAGAACATGCCAAATTACCGTAAACAGAATTTATCCAAATTAATTAATGTAAGCAGAACACTAAGAGTCAAAATTACACCACTCACAATTGTGAACAAATATCAATCCCTAAGGAAATATTAGAACCCTCTTTTCTATGATATTACAAAGATTCTCTCTTTGCTGAAATGCAATATTACCATTTAAATCAAAGCAATCGCCGTGCTTTACTTACATATCAAGATCTTCTTGAGTGGGACTATCTCCTATATCATGATTTCCACAGGCCACAAGTACAGGAATATCTGCATTGATTTTCCCAAAAATCTTTTTAAATGTTTCTTCTTCCAATTTATAAATATGATAATTTGAACCTTGAATTATCCACTTTCATCAAAATAGTATTTACACTTAATAACATTTAAAATCCAAATTAAACATTTATTTACAATATTTTGAGTTAATGTGTCTTGCAATGGCCTATTGACCTTTCTGCAGTTTATTGGGCTGGGCACATACAAATTATTACGTAATGAGGAATCATGAATTTGGCACTTACTCTTATGACCATAAACATTTAACTTATGGTCATTTATAGAACAGTATAAAGAATGAATCAAAACTCAACCAACACTCTTCAAAAGGTGGCTCCAGTGTGGAAGTAAGGCTACTAGAATGGTCCTTTGAACATAGTTCTAAAAAGTTCTAAAATTTTATGAACAAGATTATTCTCACAGTTTAGGACCATTCATTCACATATGTTGGACCACTAAATTTCAAACTGACCATTGGGTACCACTCACCAGGAGAAATGTAAGATCTGTTTGAATTTCCCATTTCTAAAAAATCCAAACTATTTTTTAGAATATACTCATTGAACCCATATTTGCCCCACTTCCTCTAAGCATCATCATCTAGAGTTTGTCTGCAGAGTTTAGGTTCATCCTGTACACATGGAAGCTTCTATAAATATAGATTAAATTCAATGGATAGTAAATGCTAAGTTATTTAAGATCCCTTAAAGTTTCTAGTCAATCATTTAAATATCTATATAACTAATTTTGAATATACACATAAATTGATTACAAACTATGCAGCCTCCAGAAAACAAAAAAAAAGTAACAAGAAATCAGTTTCAATTATGACTGAAAAAATCAAATATTTGACGTGGTTATTTCACCTCTCCCCCTACTGCTTGGTACAGACTGAATCCCCATATTCGTGCATTATTGCTTACAACACAGCTGATGTCACATGACACCAAGGCTCCAAGGAAAAGGCCATCTGTCATTAAATATTTATTTTGTGTTTGCATTATGGAACAGCAAACTTTAGAACTGTTGCACTGTATATATACTATATTATGTTATTACATTATTCATAAAGACAGTTTTTGTTAAAATATTTAATTTATTGCAGAGTTACATCAGAGAGTTTATTTTTTGTTGTTGAGCAGTATATGTGCTGGTTTTCGTAAAGCAGCAGTGAACAGCATTTTGTGTGGTTTTGTTCAGCAGCATTTTTACTTTTGCAGGCCACTAGTAAGAGCTATTACAAATCACAAATTAAAAATGTCTGCCTTTTATTACCTTGCTTGGCAAAGCGTCAGGAACCTGAGTTCACTCCCATCTTCACGTCGTATAAAAGTTTACATTATTGTATGAAATTAATTATTATTTCATTAAAACTAGCTCTTATATTTTTAAATTTTGCATGATTATTTGGAAATTTGATTAAAAATGCATCTGATTGCTCTTTTCTGAAGCACTATAACTCTGTTATTATTCCTATTACATGTTGCCCCCATATTTCTGTACCATATTGTGTATAGGAATGAATGATTCAATAATACATATCGGTTGTCATGTATTTTTTAAGACTTCTCAAAATGAATATGTTCAGAGACAGATCTAGAAACAAATTCTGGGAAGGGAAATTAGAAATGTTTTGATCCAATATGTTAATTGCAGATTTTGTAACATGTCCTAAGCTACAGTCAGTTCATGTTGCAATACAATTTGACTCATTTTTATGATTATCCAAAAATATGTTCGCTTGAAAGTTTCATGACAAGTTAAAATTAATAGTTACTGAAAAATTTTAGGGGGAGGGAGATTTCCCTCATTTTCCTCCCTGTGAATCTGCACTTGATATGTAAGTACTTAATTTATTACAGACTTCTTCAATATGTCTATTGGAGGTTAAGTTCTCATCAATATAAATTCCTAGAAACTGGTGACAATCAGTTTGGTAGATATACTTGTCACTCTGAGATTGATTTTATTTCCTGTGTTGTCATGGTTACAATGTCGGAAATGTATCATTTGAATTTTGTTTGCAATTAGATGTAGGTTATTATTTATCAAGTATTAATATATTTGTTGAAATGTCATATTATTCTCCAATGTTGTTAGATCTTTATTGCCACAAATTATAGTTGTGACATCTGCAAATGTTATTAGTTTATATTTCAGGAAGTTTAGCTTTCATAGTTTATATTTCAGAAGTCCTTGACATATAGCGGAAACTGTAACAGTCCCAATACTTATTCTTGCGGAACACCAGAAGTTATAGCTTTGAACTTTGATTGTGTTTTATCAATACAGTTGTCAGTGTCTCAGAGTATGTGTACACTTTGTCTTCATCTGTTAAGTATGAGTTGATTAGTTCATGCATATTACCTCTTATCCCTAAGTGTTCTAATTGACTAAGTATTAAATTGTGATTTACACCATCAAAAGCTTTGGATAGGTCTATAAATATTCCTGTTGTTTTCAGGTTATTTTTAAGTATGTATTTTCAAGACAATGTATCCTAGTAATCAAACAAGAGTCAATGTAAAAATGATTACTTATGCTTTGTTCTGGATTGAATGTAATATAAGAAATATTTGTTCTAAAAATTCAATAGATTAAACCAAATTAATTTAATATAATATTGTAAAATTTCAGGTATTTGATGAAGAGAATTGTCGCAAAACCTTCCCATTGTCTCAAAACTTTGTCAAACTAGATAATAGTCAAACAAGATAAAATTAATTAATTTGTAATATTTCTTGTATAAAAAACTCAAGATTTTAAATAATTACACTTCAAAGAGAAACAAAAGTTTGAATTTAAATTTATTTAAATACAGAGTCGCTTCTTATCTGATAAAAACTTTACCAAAGTTTACATACTTGGAAAAACATTAACCAAATCTCCAGAAATATGAAAAAATCTTGGTCTAGGATTCATGTTATTAATTTTTTGCACTAGTTTCTCAGTGATTTGAATTTCCTGATCCATATTTGGATAGTCGCTTTTATAGTCATGAAAACCATATTGAGGGTCAGAACCATGAATGAAGAACCATGGAGATTTCAGATTTTCCTCTACATCTGAAAAGTGCAGGTAAATAAAAAGAAATAAAAGCATACTGCAGCAATAAATATACAAAATTCAGTTGCAGTTTAAGATAAAGAATGTCCATCACAATAAAATGCATTGAAATCAAATTTCTAATAATTAATCTTTGAAGATTCATTCAAATTGGTTTTAAGATATATCAAGTTAATTATCTATAATTAATAATGCATATGCAATTGCAATGAGAAGTGTAGTAAAGTATTTACAAAAAATATCTAGTGTATTTGATTTATTTTGTAAAAAAACAGGAAAATGCTGTAAGTAATGTGTGGGAGGAGAAGTGTAATCTGCACAAATTTTCTTGAGCTCCAGAACCTTCATCCTAATCTTTCACTATACAATGTTTTGTGGAAAGAGGAAATACAATGCAGATGTACAACAAGTTCTGTACTAAATTACATATGGTATATCTCTCTGCATGAACGAAATGCATTCCTTCAGAAGAAAATTATTTGAGAAGTCTTATGAAATTTTACTTTCTTACGTACTACATACATAGTATAGAGAAAGTTATGTAATGTTGCAGTGCAAAGTGGTGATTTTTCGGCAGCAAAAGTCATATTTTCGATCCCTGATAACAAAAAAGTGGTTAATTGTTCTTCCTTCATGTAGTAAATATGTTATGAAGACAGAATCCATGTTTTGTGGATACCAAACAATTGGTTTACAGCTAAACATCCATTTATCTGCATGTCCTTGATTTAAAAGCAACTGGAAAAAATGTTGCTTTGGCACTGATAGGATAATAGATGATGAGAAGATGGTGAGGTAATACTGGAAAGCTAGAGATTAGAAAACTAATTAATACAAGAAAGTCTGTGTCATTCTGCAGCACCACTAGTTTCTAAGAAAAAAATGAATTATCAACTTAATATGTATGCAAAATAATTTTTTTGTCATGAACTGTGAGGTCTGAATGCAATAATCATTAAATATAGTGCTGTTGCTTGTTCTGATAAAGGGATATGGTACTGTCGCATTGAACATTACAATGGGGTGTGTAATATCTTCATATTTTGCCTTAACTTGATCGCCTCTGACCTTATGTCTCAAAAAAAAAGGCATTGCACATAGAAAGCGAGCGAAGAGATACGCTGACAATGTACTGAGTGTGCTAGATTGTTAATAGTTTGTGTTAGAGATTTAATTGATTGGGTGTGAATAAAAATTCATCTTTTTTAACTGCTGCAATATTGGTGCAGAGATATTTACAATGTGTGTGAAAAGCAATTTATTGGTGAGTCAAGATTTAGCTTGGATGCGGCGGTGAGTAATAGAAAATCAAAATTTAGCGAGAGTACATAGGATAAAGTACAAATTTTCTAAAATATAATGCTTCTTTAGTAATTCAAATTGAAATGTTTGAATTTTGATTTACGTGTGGTTGAAGAGCATGTTCAAAGAAGGCTAAGTTGAATAATTTCCGTTGATACTCAGCGGAAGTTGAGTTTAGTATTAGGAGGCAAGGGGTATTTTAGTGAGGGTTCCATATTAATTGCATTAGTTAATGAGATAAGAATATGCGATAATTTAGATTGGGATTTCGATATTGCTTTGAGGAGTGTTCTTAATTTGTAAAGATTTATTCCCAAATACCTTGATGCAACTTTAAGCCAGGAGAAGTGAGTCTCGTAATGGTTCTTTAACAGAGAACGTCATTTTTGTAGGGAAATGCTCCCTCCATTTTGGTAATGGCGCGTTGATAGAACCTGAGCAACCAACTATTTAGGAGATAACATCCGAAAATTTTCAGAAATGAGCGTAAAACAGGATTTCAGAATGAGAAGATTCCACATAGAAGAGAAGGCAGTTGATAATTTTGTGTAGACTGATGGTAGTGATAATCACAAGTGAGGGGTGCTAGAGCAAAGATGTTGTTTCATGAAGTTGTTTTTGGATGGCGGGTAACATATGCTTCTTTGCCTTCTGGTTGTAGTTTTGAGACATTTGGGCTGATAGAAACGGGGGAATACGTATTTTGCATGTGCAGTTCAGATTAAATTGCAATTAACATAAATTTCTTAAATTCAGTTGATTTAAGACCAACGAACATCTGGGTAGCTTAATAATGAGGAGTGCATTAAAAAAATAAGCAGAGTTATTATGACTACGTTTTCTTGTTCAAAGTGTTTGTTTTTACAGGAAAATGAACATTTTGATTTGTGTGTAATCATACCTGAATCAGAATAGATGAACCTTCATGTTTATTTGTGAAGAAAATTCTCCAATTGTCCACTCTTGTATTTTTTCATTCACTTGGAGGGAAGTGCCCTAGTGTTTTCTAAAGAAGAAAAAAAAACAATTCAAACTTCTAAGACCTGACGCCCGATGATTGGAGATAGAGGATAAGTATAGTATCATCAAAGACATAGGAAGGCATAAAGAGCAATAAGACTACAATCATTTCCCAAAAAAAGTGTATTTTGACAGAAGAGGGTGGGGCGTAGAGACAGATTAGTAGGAATGGTAATGAAAATCTTAGCATTAAACAGATAAGTATTCACGCTACGTAGGCTGCGATGACTGCTCCGTATACGATTTGTTCGAGATGTGTTTTGGCGGTGCCAATGGTTAGGTTACATACTACTTAGAGTTTTGGTTACTCTACTGCCGTGAGTGATAGCCTATGATTGATACCGTACGTTGGAGATAACCAGGCCAACTGAGTGCTTTGTTCATGAGCCTTACGTTTGAAGATTGCCGAGTTGCGGGCCAAAAAACTAGCAGCTTCAGTTGATGGTCCCTCGTCGACGGTAAAACCTCTCGATAGACTTTCTGAATTGTCCAATAGTATCCCAGGTACTCTTTCTTTGCCGATAAGTATAACGCGCTTGGGAAGTGAATGTTTTGGGATTAGCCAAAGCATCCTTACGTAACGAAGTGTTGTTTGTGCATGTGGTGAAGACTGTGTGCGTGCAACGACTACGCCCCGAGTTTGCATTGTGAAACGGCGCGTAGAATGTTGAGATAGAGACGAGAGTAAGGAAGACAGTACCATATTTTTCATATTGTTACGGATGATTTATGAATTATCAGCGCTACTATCGTTCTATTTGATGATGGGAAATAGAAATTGCGGAAAGTGTGGAAATTGTTGTACAATTTCCGAAGGCCGGTAGTGCTGCCCACCTAGATAGTCAAGTCAAGATAGTCAAAGTTATATTTTACGCTCCTTGTTTACATTATTTACTCACTATTGCACTTATTAACTTACATACTTTTTAACTAAACTTATATTAGACGCTACTTGTTTACAATATTTAGACGCAATTTCACTTACAATCTAAACTTAGAGTGTTTTTTTTTTATAGTTTGCCAGTCAAACTTGCACTAGCACTTGAGAGTCAGAGTCACAGTCACTTTTTCCCCCGCACACACTCCCCACATGACTTGCCTTTCGGGGGCACTAGCACAGTTTTTCCAACACAAGCACTCAGGGTGCTCCGGGTCTGGGTGGTTGTCTCTATGGTCGGCGGTGCACTCTCGACAAACTACCTAACTTTACGGCTGCGGAGCGGGAGCGACCGGCCGTCGCACGCCCGACCTGGCGGAGGCGCGGGTTCGATACTCAAATGGAACCGTACCAAGTCTTCTCTGGCGATGTGATTTCAGTAGCACGCAGCTCCACCCGATATTGCCTAGGTGACGACGCGTACGCGCAGCTTCTTTAGTTTGTCAGCAGACAAGAATTTCTTTATGGCAGCATCGGTACTCTTGTACCACTCGCCGAAGGCCCTTACCACAATAGGGAGGCGTTCCACCGCCCGGTAGTGCTGACCAAGGAGTGTGTGTGAGAAAATCTTTGTATCTTCTCCCATTGCGAGGCGAGTTTTCCTGCGCGAGCCACCGCGACCGCTACATCAACGTCGACCACGGAGTGGCCTTTGGCAACCACCAGGTCAGGCATATCCCCCCTGCAGTGCGACCTGGTTATTGTACAGCACACTCCATCCAACTTCCATGGAGGCGGAGGCGTCGCGAACGTATTGTAGTGCGCGACTATGACGCCGTATCCTTGTGGCGGGTTGAGAGGGGCATGCCGAGACGACGGACGTGCGCTATGGTTTCCATTGCGGGGACGTCCGAGTTGGGGAGTTAGTACTTGCAGCGGCAAAACGTCTACTGACTATTAGGCTGTTTGTTTAGTAGCTGCACGAAGATAAGCCGCGCGGCGTGTACAAACTTGTATACCACAGGGCACATGTTAACCCCGAACCGAAGGAAGCAAAAATAACTTCTCCCTTGTCTTTCCAGAGCAGAGGCAAATATACCTTGGCGCAACTCACGCCAGATCTGCTCGTACTCCGCCTGATATAGTCCCCGTAGGTGGTACACGAGCCTCCCCGAGATTTGGCCGTAATTAGGTTTTCTTCCAGGCGGTCGGCGTCCGCGGACCAGTTCCGGGGTCGATCTGTTCAATCTGGCCTTCCGTTGTATTCTGTCTCTGGACGCCCTCTCCGGTCTCCCCTTGGGACGGCACCACTTCTGGGCTCTGCTGCATCCGCGACAGTAAAGATGCCACTGTGTGTGCGTGTGTGTGTGTGTGGGGGGGGGGAGCGGTTACGTCCTCTGTGCTCCCTCGGACCTGAAGTCGGCTGACCCGCTTGGGTGGGTTTGTGGCAGGGGACGGCACCGCATACGCTCATGGGACCCAGGTGTCACAGTTCTAACCAGCGCCTCCTGTAGGAACTAAAAGGGTCTCTAAACTATTGTCCCTTTCATACCCAATATCCCATTAAAAGAAATCAAACTTAAATGGAGCGAACAGCCATACATCAGCGGCCACAATATGTTGTTTCTTGATTACGGGAAACCCCCCGCCTTCCGATTTTCCCGCGAATGAATCTGAGGTCCAGAACGACGGGCGAATGCTTTTTGCAACGTTGCCAATTTTTAGCATTATCGTTTCTGATTGATTGATTAGCGACTCCAGATGCTTCAACTGCCTTAAGTGTAGTGCGTGTTCTCATCGCGAGAGTAGGCGCTGA